TTAAAATGTTAGAATCAATAATAAAAAATTAAAATATCATTAATAAATAATACACAAAAAATTTATTAATAATATTTAGATAATTTTATTAAAAATCTTAATATTTATTTTTCTCATACTTTAATTTTATTAAACTTATTTTGGTAGGTTTTCAATTTTTAATTTTAATTTTAATTTTTAACTCTTACTAAATTCTTAAAACAAAATATATCTTATCTTATAGTGCACTCTACAATAAATTATAAGATCAAAGTCATTACAAAAATATAAAAAAATTTTAAACCAAACCTTTAAATTTAAATTTAAATAATTTATTCTCAAATCACAAAACGTTTCGATTAATTAATCGAGGTTTTCGATCCCGACAGCTTAAAAAACTTCACTCTCTCGATTTTCCAAATTATAAATTATCCAAACAATAAAAAAAAAATCAATATATAAAAACTCCTTCTTTTTTTTTTTTATAATTACGATGTTACAGTCCGCCCTAACACAATATTTCAAAGCTAAAATAAAAAATCAGTACAATTGTGGGTAAGAGAAACGTGACTCATTTGGTTATGGTCAATGAGTTTAGTATGTGGTTGGTAAAACGTCCAATCACAGAAAAAGCCAAAAAATCTGCCACATTATGACATTAACATCCTAGTCCCCCGCCATCCACATTTTTGGACAGTGGTCTGCGGTCCCCACCGATTACTGTTGCGTAAAGGTACTCCTTTCATTTATTTCAATTGTAAATGCCATAAATAGTCACTTATTTTTACCATAATTTTTAATTTAGTTACTCTTCTTTAAAAATTATAAACTCAATCACTCATCCGTAATTTAAGTTTCGTCCGTTTATCATTTCCGTTAACTCATGCCCATCAGCGTTAATTCTATTAGCTTTTATTGTCACATGGCCCCGTTTATGCTAATATGACATGAGTGGCCAACTCTGTCTCGTTGTCATCTTACGTGGCACTTACATGAAAAAAAAATATATTTTTTTTTCTTTGTAATAACAAATCTATAAGCAACAAAAATAAAAATTAACTTAAAATATTGAACTTGACCCTGTAAATCAAGTGGTTTTAGTCATTATTGTAAAATTCATTTTCTTATTTTTTAGGGTAATGATTCGAGTCGATCCCATGATAAAATGTTCAAAAAAAAAATTATCTTAAAATATCATTTTAAATGGCACCTACATGAAAACAATACATTTTTTTGCATTAAATTTTTTTTTTGCCAAATAAAGAGATAATTTGTTCATATATAACTTGTATTGCTTTTTTTCCTTAAAAATATAAACATAAAATAAGACAATATATTCATACTAGCCACTTAAAAATACTTTATAATATAATTTTGTAAAAAATAAAATGCAATATTCATCGAATGAAAATTCTAAATGCGAAAAATAGTAACCAATCTAAAGTCATTTCAACCTTTTCCTCTCTATACAATCAACTTGTAATAAACGGAAAAAAAAAAAAAAAAGAGTAAAATTTTCCTATGAAAGAGCTTAGGAAAAAGGTTCTAAAATGCTAAATTTCTTGACTAAACTCAATTCCTCTTCCGCCATTTTTGTCCTTTAACGTCTCCTCCATCTAGCTTTTCATGTCAACATGAAAGATGACAGAAATGACAAGGGAACCGAAGTGATGAACGGACAGAAAATAAATTAAACATGAGTGATTAGATTTAGAGTAATGATGTGTTGGACGAAATTGGGGGCGCAATGGGGGACAAGTGAAGCTGGGCAAGATACAAAATTATTAATTTCATCTGCTTCAGTTGTTGTCTCCTAAATTCATCCCTTAATTTTATCCCGTTAATCATTACTCTTAGATTTATAAATTTTAAAAGAGAGTAAGCAAATTAAAAATTATAGTAAAGCTTAATGATTATTTATGTAGTTTATTTTTATTTTAATAGCTTTAATTTAATTTTTTAAATACAAAGTTTAGATAAAATTTTAATATATTATATAAATGATAATTAAAATTTTTTAATTAAATAAAAATACTTAATAAAACTTCATAGAAAAAGAAAAAAATTTTCAATTATTATTCATATAAATTATTTAATTTTTATCTAAAATTTATATTTAAAAAATTAAAAAATTAAACTATGACTATTAAAAATAAAAAGAGAGAATAATTAAGACTCTATTTAATATAATTATGGGTTTGAATTTTTTTTTTTTTGGTTTTTATGAACTTTACACTTTTAAACAACAAATTTGTTTGCTTTTGTGTATTTTTGTAATATATTATCATAATTACTATTACAATAAGGAAAAAAATTTTAATTATTAAACAAGTTTATATTTTTCATAATTAGTGTTAAATTTTTTTTAAACAAATTTTTTATTTTTTATTTTTAGTTTTGATTTTTAATAATTATAAAATTTATAAAATCCAAAACTAAAAACCCAAACTACAACTATATTAAATAAAACCTAATAAAATAGTTAATATGTACTATTTAATAGATTGAAATTAATTTATAAGTATCTATTTTTAAATATCATAATTAAATATTTTAAAAAAATTATATATTAATAAAATATTAGTAAAACTATGTGGCTTTAACAATAATATATGTAGCATAACCACAACCACATTTTTTATATGTTACTTGCTTTTTAGAATACTATTTTTAGTTCATATATTAAAAATGTAATTTGAGCATCAAAATTATTAAAGTATATTTGATAAGTTAACACATGAAAGAATTTCATTAAAGATAGTTTAATAAATTCATAACTCAAAGTATTTTTCTAAACAAGTTTCATTAAGAATACTTTGATATAAATTAACATATGAGACTAAAAAACATATTTTCATTTTCCTTTTTTTTTTACAGAAATTTTCACATATTTTCTTTCTTTTTTTTTTTCACTTCCTTTATTAAACTTTAATAAGCTTATTTTTTAATAAAATAAAGATATAATAATTAATTATTAAAATTTTATATTTATCTTTAATTAATCACTATTTAAATAAGTCTTTTTATTTAATAAACAATGTAAATTATCTTTTTAATTAAATAAAAGTAAAATATAAATAAGTGTAAATGATATTTTTAAAAATAAATTTGAACACTATAGATTGAAAATTAGGTCCACTACTTTGCAAAAAATAAAAAAATAATAAAAAAAGGTTCACTAAAGTTGAAAGAAAATTGTATAATTATTATTATGGAGTATTAGTTAATCAATTAAATGGCGCTTATGTTTTTCTTTATTTCTCTCCTGTTAAGTACAGTAGTATTTTGGAGGGTAAAAGTCAGTTAAAGACGAAAGCAAGATACAAGATTGGAAACGTTTTTAGGTTTCAACAACTTATTCAAAACCTAGTTAGTCGTGATTAAAAATGATTACAGACCAAATTTTAGACTTTTTTTTTTAATGAGATCGAATTTTAGAGTCTTTGTAGAAAGTTGAATAGAATTATTATATCTTTGAAAGATTCTACATTTGCCTCTATAGACCAACGTTCAACTTGTTAAGAGCATTGTTGTCAAAATCTAGATTTAAATCTTAAAATCTAGATTTAAATCTTAAAATCTTACGATTTTACGATTTCAGTAAGACATTTCGTGTAAAATCTATACTAAAATCTGAAATTTATAAAATCTTGATTTTACCTTTTGTTTGACGGTTGGACTTTAACTTATTTTCTTTCGACCTTCTCATTTTGGGTTAGTGAGTTTTGACTAGATAACCCATAAATTAAGCTCATTTTTCATTTTAAAAGCCCACAACCCACACAACCCACACAACCCACACAACCCAACCACAAATCAACATTTTAATCGAGAATTCGGGACAAATTTGATTTAACTATCTAAAATTCTAAATTTAAGTCATCTTCTTCGTTTAATTTATTTGTGTCGTTGGATATTTAGATTTTAATTAGCTAATTTCAAGTTT